ACACCTTCTGTAATGTTTTTCTTCCATTTACTCACTGTAATGTCAGAAGATTGATATGGGCTTGTCTTTTACATTTAGCTGCACATTTGCACTGCCATATAATACATAACGGTGGACATAAACCACATATTTTTCTTTTTTTACAGATGTGTTTTTCAGTTTTACAGCTGTCATTTAATATAAGTGCCACTCCTATCACTGCTCTTGTGAACATAACCTCATGCACATGTGCACATTTTCCTCTAGGGTACATACTTTATGATTATAGCCAGGTATCTTTTCATTTTAACTGGATAGTTCCACTATACTCACCAAATTGATTGAAGTAATTTGTAATCCTACTACTAATGTACTGAATTTTTAAGTGAACACTGTTATTTCTTGCATTCAATATTGCCATTTTTGTCTGTTGGTTATCATGTGAGTATTTGAGGATTATGATGTCATAATTTTATTGTAACTATGCCCTATAATTTTATTGTAACAGTGCCCTAACACTGAAGCAGAAATACCCTTACTTCTAAAATACAGAGAAATAATAGGGCATATGTATAAGCAAGATGTGCTTCAGATGGTCTGGTCTCATGTATGAATACAATTCCATTCATTGCTTCCCAAATGTGCATTTGGTTATGTCTCATTGCTACCTGAATTTGGCCATGAAAACAAATTTATGCTACAGAATTTGGCAAATGCCACAAATCTGAGGATTTAAAAAAATACCTTTTACAGAATCAAGATACCAGGTCGTCAAAGTGACCGGGTCGTCACTTTAAAAGTCAGCGTGGTGACTTCAGGTGATGCTATTTCAGGACAATCTATATGGACAGCATCTGATAAAGAGTGAAGGGCTTGTAGAGTCTACACAGGTGTTAGGGCATCCTTTGGATTTATATTTTCCTGCTTGGAATCTGATATTCTCTGACTGTTTCAGTTGTTGAAGCAAGTTTGGAAGTCTGAACTGAAGAGACAGAGACTGGATGAAGAGCATCAGGGAATGAGGCCAGTAGGAATAAAGGGCACTGTGTGACATGGCAGTGGACCAGAGCAGGAAGGTGCACAGAGGGCTGGACTCAAAGCTGCCATGTGGGTCGCAGCTGCATGTCTGGGTGGCAGGAGGAGGGACCCAGCGGGGAAAGCCACTGTTTGTGGAGAGGAAAAGCATCGCAGTTCAATGGTCCTATTCAGAAACACTCCATGCAGTGTCCCTGCACTCGGACACTGATTCCCCCTCTGGAAATGAGCAGCAGACAGAACAGACAGCACATGCCCTAGATTCTCTTCCAGAACCTCCTGGGGTCATCAGCTTTACTTCCAGGGATCGACCACTCTGGACGGTGTGTTATTGTCTCTGGAGTTTACCTCCCGGCTGCATCCTGGTGTCTTCTTCGGCTGTGCCAATCCTCAAACAGCAGAATCCCGAGGACCACCAGGATCAAGCCAGCCAGGCCCATGCGGACGAGATTCTCCACTGTGTAATCCTGGGGGTGTGGGGCTGGGGATTGTGGACAAAGAGATCAGAGAGGCCAGAGCAGACCAAAGTCACACAGGATGCCTTGAGGTTCCCCCAGGACACCATCCTCCTGTGGACAGGCCTGACCTTGTGTCCAGCCCATGACTGAGAGGGCTCATTCACCACTCTTGTGTGTTGGGCTCATGGTCTTAGCTGCTCTGAGAATGAAAACAGAGGAGAAGGGGCAGGGGATCAAGAGACACAAGCCCAGCCTCTCCCCTGGTCTCTGCCTTCTATGTTCCTTCATGTCTCATGATGTGACTTTTATGCTGTTTTTGTTATGAACATGATGATATTGCCATTATATTTTTAAATTTCAGAATATTATGGGGGTACAACTATTTAGGTTACATATATTGCTTTTGCCCCACCCGAGCCAGAGCTACAAGTGTCTCCATCCCCCAGACAGTGCTCACTGCATGTGCAAATCTGGTAGTAACATTCATTGGGAGTCAGGCAGGTGGGAGGGTGGCAAAGGGGATGGGTATATTCACTCCTCATGACGTGACTTGTATGCAGTTTCTTAGTAAACTCATTCTCTGCTGTAGCAGGAAGAGCTCAGGACCAGCAAGGAAAATGGTTCACCTAGCATAGAAATAACTGAGCCCTTGTGTGCTCTCTGTTCATTCTGGAACACAAGACCACGTATGCTAATTATCCCAGAAAAAAGCATTTTCACTTATCAACATCTCAAGACCCAGGGTCCATGGATGTGGGGTTGGTCCTCAGAGTGAATGTCTGGGCTGCCTCCCCTTCACTCCACCTCACCCAGGTCAACTGGGGTCTCATCACCCCCTTAATCTTATGTTAATTAATTCTTAATATAGTTGGAAAGGACTGGAATGTGATTTATACACACACACACAAGTACATACACAAATGCATATTTCTAAGTGGTGGTGTTATCACAGGCTCATCAAACAGTATTTCTGCTTGTATGAAGAATTAGTCTAGGTGAGAAGACCAATAACAATCATGTAAAAACAGAACACATCAAAATATTGAGGATGCAGACGAATATGAATGCATATACATGTAGATATACACACATACATAATGTATAGAATTATACATAAATATGTATGTAGCAAAACTTTCAATATTTACTTATGTAGTTACCTACTTATTAATATTTTAAGTATGAAAGACTGGCATGCAATTTAGAAATAAGTGAAATTTCTATTTTTTTTGTGGTTTATATAAATTTTATCAGTAAATTAGAGAAGATCAATTGAAAATCTAATGGAAGAGAGGAATTCTGCAGTAAGTTAATGTGAAATAAAATGGATATAGTCAAACCAGCAGCTTTTTCACATATACATAACTCTTACTGGGAAAATATAAAGAAATCCAAGACCTCTCTTATAAATCATTAAAGAATTTGAACAATTCTTTAAATTAGAATGAATGCACACAATTCTTATGAATGAAATTTCAAAGGCATTTCTTAATTTCATTAATACACCTCCATTTTTAATGTTAGGATAGGAAGACTTGATATTATTGGAAATTATTTTCCAAACCAAATACACAAATTAAGTCAAGTGTCAATCAAAATGGGAATGTACTGATTTCTAAATCATAAATCCGTATCATTTAAATTAAAATTATAAATTCACATATTCAATTATTTCTTCAAATTTCAGATAAACAGATAACAATATTGGACAAGAGTGTAAGAAAATGCAGAGTAGAAATGAGTTATACACAAGACGTGCTGTGCAAATGATTCCCTTACTTGCCCCAGTGAGCAGGTGCAGGTCCCACCTTAGTCTCAGGTGTGCACTGAGCACAGAGGCCACCAGGGGAGCACAGGAGGGGCTGTGCCCACAGCCTGGGGAGCCCTGTCTGAAGGGGCGTGTCTGGTGTGGGCTCCATCCTGACCACACCCAGGTCCCACCAGGGCCGGAGCAGCCTCCTGTCCTGTCCTGGCAGGACCCAGGAACCCCACATGTGTGGGTAAGGGGCTCCGTCCTCAGGGTCTCTTGTAAATGAAAGATAAGAGCTGTAAAGGGCATGTCCTCCTGTCCCCTCTCCAACTCGCCAGCCTGTCCTCCCCTCCACCTGCTGCTGCATCTTCCCTGTCTCCAAGTCAGTCCTGGACACCAAACCCTGCTGACCCAGCCTGTTCTCCTCCTTCTGCTCACCAGACATCGTCCCCAACAGGTTAGGGTCCTGGGCATCACGCAGAGCTGCGTGGGTGTGGATTTAGTAAACATACGAGAGATATCGTGTGGTACCTAAGAGAAGGGAGATTCTGAACCAGTGGAATTTTATAAATCTTTGCTGTTTCCATGATATTGGGGCTTCCTCTTACTAGGATGAAATTCCAACACTAATGTACAAAAAACACATGTACCTGCCCCTGTATTCCTCAGTTTTTAAACTGAGTGAGTTACTGGGAGGAGCAGGACAGGTCCAGAAAGGGCTGGAGACAGGAGAAGGTCTAGGAAGAGACACATCCCAGATGCCCAGGGGTCAGAAAGAAAGAGCGTTTGGAGGTCACTCCCAGCCAACTCCCCCTTCTTCAGAGGGGAACCCAGGGCAGGAGGGAGAAAGGCTTTCTCAGAAGTTCCTCCTCCCAAGGAGAGGTGGAGCCAATTCAGACCCCCCCCCTCCAGGCCCCCTCCCACCAGACTCCTAGACTAAGCCCCTGCCTTGTTCCCTCCCCTGGTCCTGGCTCCCTGGTGAGTCGAGATGGCTCCTGGGTGTCCTGCTCAGGGAGAGGGCAGACCCAGCCCCTCCACACATCAGCTCTGGTCCCTCCTTCCTGCCTGGACCTCGGACACCTCCCTTCCCTCTGCCCAGCACAGAGGTCACAGCTGCCCCATCCCCAGAGCCCCAGAAGCCATGTGGACCCACCTTAACCCTGCTCCCTGCTCCTCTGGGGAGCAGATCCCTCCCCTTAGTATTGGGAATAGGATTGAGATGAGTCTAGAATTTTCTCTGAGGTCAGGGTAACTGTTTCCATCACCCATTGGATCAGGACCTGGAGGTGAGGGGCTGGGACACCTGGAGGTTCTGATTCTGAGGAGGAGACATCAGGAGGTGGGTGGGTGGGACTCTGTCCTCCACCTTCAGTCACATCACATTTCCTCTGAGGTTCACCCATGTCTAGTTCCATCCACCCTGCCCTGCACCCTCACTGAGACTCTGGGGGTGTGTCCAGGGGTGGGAGGTCCTGTCTATTTCCACCTTTCAGGCCAGGACCCTCTCCTGGGGGTGACCTCCTTCATCCCTCATTCCTTGTTGTCCCAGAGCTCTCCTGGGGCAGGGCCTGAGCTGACCCTTTGAGCTCAGACAGGACAGGGTTGGGGTCCTCACCTGAAACCACGAGCTCCAGGGGGTCACTGGGCAGTGACAACAGGTAGGGGGAGGTGCTGAGTGAGCCATAGCACCTGTAGGTGGCCCCATGGGCTGAGGTCGCAGGACTCATGGAGAATTCAGCCTGGAACTTCCCAGCTCTGTACTTAGATCTGAGATGCAGGGGGGGATCGGCTGCCCCCTCCTTGGTCAGAAGGAAAGTGTCCATCCAGATCTGTGACTGACACAGCAGGATCACGTCCTGTCCTGAGGCTACCGTGGGGCTCAGCTGCACTAAGAGGGAGGGTGTGTCATTGAGCTGTCCTAGAGAAAAAAAGGAGGGGTGGGAGGAGGTCTGAGCTGAAACCTCCCCAGGGCCTCTCTCTGAGGACCCTCAGTGTCTCTGTCTGTCTCTGTGGTCTCTGAGTCTCCCCCTCCTTGGCCACCCCTGTCTCTCTCTGTCCGTCTTTCCCTGAGACCCACCCCTCATTCCAGCCATCACCCCTGGGGGCTCCCCTGGCAGGGCCTCTGCAGAGTCTGGGTCCCTGACTGACCCCGCTGGGCTCCTCACCTGCGATCAGGATGACCAGGGGGTCGCTGGGGGCCGACCACATGGAGGAGAGGCCGTGTCCACCGTAGCATCTGTACTGGCCCCCATGGGAGCGGCTCACAGGGCCCAGGGGGAAGTCGGCCTGAGACTGCCCAGCCTGGGGCTGCCAGCCAGGGTGCTGGGCGAGGACACGTCCCTCCTCCTGGGACAGAGCGAATCTGTCGTAGCTGACATCAGAGTGACACTGGAGGGTCAGGTTCTGTCCAGGGGCCAGGACAGGGCCTTGCGTGCTGAGCAGAGAGGGCTTCCTAGACACACCTGGAGGAAAGAACAGGCCGGGGGTTGCAGGGGCTGGTTCCTCCCAACACCTCCTATGTCCTGTTTTCCCCTGCAGGCCCGCTGTCTCTCACACCTGTGGCCCTGGGAGCCCTTGTTCCTTCACCCCAACCCTCCGCCTTTGGTGCCCCTGCAAGCAAGGCTCATACTGACATTTTTGGGATCTCAAGAAATCAATGGGTTAGGATGAAAACTCGTCACCTTGGATGAACAGCTCCAGGGGGTCACTGGGGCCCACCCACACCTGGGGGGTCTTCCTGTTACAGCCATAGCATCTCAACATCCACCTGTGGCTGGGGGTCACGGGGCCCAAAGGGAACAGGGCCTGGAACTGCCCATAGGAGGTTTGCTGTGGGTCCTCGGTCCGGTAGACCTTGTGTTCTCCTTCCTTAGTCAGAATGAACTTGTCAAATTTTGTCCATGTACCACACTGGAGAGTCAAGTTCCCTCCTGACATCACAACAGGGCTTGGCAGGGCCGAGAGGGTGGGTTTCCTGTAGGATACTAGGAGAGAAGGAGGCAGTGTGTTAAATGGGCTCACACCTCCCACATCACCCCCAGGGCTGGGCTGTGACAGGGAGACACCCTGAGACCAGACCCCTTCCTGAGGGCAGAGCCTGGGGCTGGGACCCTGAGTGTCCTCTCACCTGTCACCACCAGCTCCAGGGGGTCACTTGACTCTGACCACCCAGCAGGGCTGTGATAGGAACAGCGATATCGCCCTGCATAATGCTCAGTCATGTGTGGGATGTTGAACTTGACGTTGTTCCCAGGCTCCAGTGGTGTCTGTGTGTCCCAGGGCTCTGATATTCCCTCTTTATCCAGACGGTACTCCTGGGCATCCAGGGTCCCCTGACACCAGATGGTCACAGGTCTCCCCAAGGTGATCACAGAGTCTGGCTCAGCCCAGAGGGTGGGTTTGGGGAGGGTCCCTGGAAGGAAATCACAGGCTGAGTCCCAAGATGTCCCCACCCCTCAGATCCCAGCTCTCAGCCCAGGACCCTCCAGATGTCCCCGTCAGTCAGCCCAGAACTTCCGTTCCCCATCCTCAGCTGCCCAGGGCTGTCCCCTTGTCCCCAGTGAGGACGAAGTAACTGGGACAGCTGGGGACAGACTCACCTGCTCGCACACGGGTCCTGGTGCCCAGACTCAGCCCTGGAAGAGAGTTCCCTGTGAGAGATTTGTTCCCTGAAGGCTGAGCATGTCCTGACCTCCCCGGGAGCCTCCTGAGCCCTGGGGTCTCCTGCTAGAGCAGGGCCTGGCTGTGGGGTGGGGTCCCCCCCAGACCAGGTCTCCCTCCCCTCTTCCCATCTCACCGAGGCAGAGCAGGGCCGTGAGGGTGGGGGTCATGGCGTCTCCTCCCACTGGTCCCAGCTGTGCAGATGGGCGAGACCATGGCCTGCAGGACAGAGAGACACACAGGGTGTGGCCACTTGGAGGCTGGGTCCTTCCTGTCACCGGTTGTCACATTACCAGCCCCACAGGAAAGGGAAATTTCTAAATGCTTGGCTCTGGTTTCCCCTGGGGAGAGGGTGTGTACTAGGCTCCCTGGAGACATTTGAGAAAGAAATGGGGTCTCCCCTGATTGGTTTCCACTGTCTTCCTAGTCTTAACTCCTTCCAGCCCAAGTAGGAACAATATTGTTGGGTTTTGCAATGTGCCTGACCATGGAAATGTGTCAGTGACCAAATCTGATGAAACCCTGAGTTTAGAGAACTCAGATTAACATAAAGGAGATACCCAGTGTGGCAGCTCCATATTGCTGCTCTAAGAAATTTCTACAAGCTTAGATTCTTAAGACAACACAGATTTGTTATCTTACAGTTCTGGCTGTCAGAAGTCCACAGGGCATCTCCCTGGGCTGCCATCAGTTGTCATCAGGGCTGTGTTCCTTCTGGAGGCTCCAGGGAGCATCTGTTCTCTCACCACCTCAGCTGTCTGCAGGCTGCCTGCACTCCCTCACTCTCATCCCCTTCCATCCTCAAAGCCAGCAGTGATGTTATTCCAGCCTCTGCTTCCATCTTCTCTTCTCTGATGTCACCCTCCTGCCTTCCTCTTTCATGTACAAGGCCCCCTTGGGATCACATTGTGCCCACCTGGATTATCCAAGATGATCTCCTGCTCCAAGATCCTTAACTTAATCACATCTGCAAAGTCCCTCTTTCCATGTAAGGTACTGTATTTACAGGTTCTGAGGATCAGGACATGGACACCTTTGGGAGGTCATTACTCCATCTGCCACATGCCTTCACAAACTCCTTTAGCCAAATCTTGTATAAACCACTTCTGTTTGATAACAGAGAGCAGCTGGGCATGGCCAGTTGCATGTGTGGTTGGTCAGTCCACACCCAGTTCCTGACGGCAGCTCACATCACATGGTGACCTGCCCACTCAAGGCCAAGTGTTCAGTCTCTACTGCAGCCAAGGAGCAAGCTAGAAGCTGCGTCACAAATTGAGAACCATCTCTGCAGAAACGGCTCAGTGTGGCTTCAGAATCTTAAATGACTGTGTTGTAAATTCATCTAAAGCTTCCTACCAAATGCCCTGCACAGGATCCTCACCTGCCTCAGGTGCTTCAAACACCATTGCGTCTGCTGGGCCTCAGGCTCAAGCTGTCTACAGCCTGCACCTGTTGCAGAGATTCCTCTCATTCTGGGCCCCACTCAAAGTCAGCAGCCTTTCAAGGTACTTAATAAATGGGTTGAGGTAGCATATCCAAGGAGGTTCACCTTTTCTCCAAATGTAAGAAGAGGCCCATAGGTCTCTGACTTGTCTCTCATGAGTAAGGGGTCAGATGGAGCGACATGTCTTCACCTTGGGGACCTACCTCAGCATGCCTCAGGCAGCTGGACTCCTAGAGATTTTACTCAGGCAGCAAAACATGACTTTAAGGACGATTTATTTCCCATTCTCTGGAAGACGTGGTCTCACAAACTGTCTGGAGTATTTGCTCCTCCCTATTGAACAGGTGCAATCAGTGCATCATTGATGTAAAGGACCTGGGTGACGTTCTGTGCCTTGGAGATGCGATCATGGTCCCTGCCGACTAGCTGACAGAGCACTGCAGAGTTAGTGCAGTCCTGAAGTTGGGCAGTGGAGACCCACTGCTGACTCTGAGAGCTTTTGCAATACACACGTAGAAGATATGCTTTTCCCAGATCAGGAGCTGCATGCAAGTGCCAGGGGGCCTGTGGATTTTCTCTAGTAATGAAGCCTTAACAGGAAATTGAAGCTTCTGAGCTGAAATTGAAATTTCTGTCTGGTTTATTAATACAAGAGTCCATTGCCATTCTCCAAAATCTATCTGTTTTATGCACAGGTCAAATAGGGGAGTGGAACAAGCACATGGAAGTACTGATAGAGTCCCTGTCCTGGAACCTTCTCCAGATATGCGAAATTACTTTGTTTTCGGTATTTTGTTAGGGAGAAGCATTTCCAATGCCATCCACGTGGCCTGTCCTTCCATCGTATCTCTTATTCCATCCATCAGAAAACCAGCACCAGTTGCTGGGGATGTCTTTACACTTTGAGCACTCCAGACCTAACGACTGTAAGTAACTCCAGGTCTTCTTGTGTTGAGAGACCCAAGCCATTAATCAACCGATCTCCATAACCCTCCACACTGACTGGCAGACTCCAGGGTCCCCGCTGGTTCTGGGGTCTGTACAAGTGATAGGATATTTTACTAAATAGTGAGGTCAAAGTGAATGTTTTAGTAGGAAACAACCACAGGACACAACACGTTACTATGTTACCAATAAAGAAGATTATGGTATCCAGGAGTTTCAAAGAAGTGGCTAATCTTACATGTGAAACCGATTTTATGTTACCACCACATTCAATGTCTGTCTGTGTCTAAATAAATCATTGTTCCACTGGAGTTAAGTGATATCTCGTTGTAGTTTTGATTTGCATTTCCCTGATGATTAGGGATGTTGAGTATTTTTTCATATGTTTGTTGGCCATTCTTCTGTCTTCTTTAAAAAAGTTTCTGTTCAAGTCCTTTGCCCACTTTTTAATAGGGTTATTTGATTTTTTCTTGCTGATTTTTGTGAGTTCTAAGTATATTCTAGTTATCAGCCCTTTATCGGATACGTAGGATGCAAAAATTTTCTCCCATTCTGTAGGTTGTCTGTTTACTTTCATGACTGTTTCTTTGGTTGTGCAGAAGCTTTGTAGTTTCATCATGTCCCATTTATTAAAAAGTCTCCAAATAACAAATGCTGGCATGGATGTGGAGAGAGAGGAACACTCCTACACTGCTGGTGGGACTGCAAACTAGTTCAACCTCTGTGGAAAGCAATATGGAGATACCTTAAAGCGATACAAGTGAATCTACCATTTGATCCAGCAATCCCATTGCTGGGCATCTACCCAAATGATCCAATGACACTCTACAAAAAAGACACCTGCACTCGAATGTTCATAGCAGCACAATTTATAATCGCAAGGCTGTGGAAACAGCCCAAGTGCCCATCAATTCAAGAATGGATTAATAAAATGTGGTATATGTATACCATGGAGTACTATTCAGCTCTAAGAAACAATGGTGATATAGCACATCTTATATTTTCTGGTTAGAGCTGGAACCCATATTACTAAGTGAAGTATCCCAAGAATGGAAAAACAAGCACCAGATATATTCTCCAGCAAACTGGTATTAACTGAGTAGCACCTAAGTGGACACATAGGTACTAAGTAATAGGGTATTGGGGGGGGCGGGTATATACATACATAGCGAGTGATATGCGCACCATCTGAGGAATGGTCATGCTGGAGACTCAGACTTGTGGGGGGACGGGGGAAGGGCATTTATTGAAACTTTAAAATCTGTACCCCCATAATATGCTGAAATAAAAAAAAAAGAAAGGCAAAAAAAAATTGGAATAGATTAAATTAAATAAAGTTTAAAATTCAATTCCTCAGCCATGCGAGCTGCAACTTGAGTGCTTCAAATCCATGTGTGGCCACTGCCTGCCATGCGGAACAGCATAAATATAGTCTCCGCTGCTGGAGAACGTTCTAGCTCCTCTCGGCTAAAAGGACAAATTGAAGACAGAGCCCACTGTTTCATGGAGGCCAGTTTCATGGAAGAGACCTACAGGTAAAGGTAATATTTAAGATCTGTGATGAGGCATCTTTATTTAACGGAATATGGGTTCAAAGCAGAGTCCCCTCCTGGAATGTCTTATCACCTCTTATCTTCGTGCAAATTTCTGCCATAGAGATTTTCATCCAAACTCTGAGAATGTCACCTCCTATTAGCACATTATATTGGCCCCAGTGTCATAAGAAAGTAAATATCTGTTCTTAGCACAATTACACTCTGGAAGACAATTCCTGATGAGCTCTACCTCTGACCCTTTATTTTTTTTCTTTATATTTGAATCAACATCTGCACAAAGCAACTAACAAACCACTATGTACAGAAAGCTTTCACTCATCTTGTGCAATTAGCACATGCTGTTTCCTCACCCAGTAATTTCTGGAGCATTTCAGTGTTGACATCCACCTTCATACACACGTTTTTATCTCACGGTCTAAGTTAGGTGGGTCTACTGACCCCACAGTGCCTGTGACACAACTTCCACGTGTCCACGATGCTACCTTTTTACTGCCTGGTCTGCGCCGGTCTGTCCTGCCTGAACTGTCGGCTTCCTGCGGCAGCAGTGGAGTCTGTTCCGCTCCGGGACTCAAGTCAGTCTCCAGGGATCCTGCCTGCTGGACGTCTCAGGAAACACACGTCTGGTGAGTGATGAGGGTTCTCAACCCCTCCAGAGAGAGGCCTGTGAGGCAAACTTCAGAGCCCTTGACGTGACCCAAAGTCGCTTCTCTGCCTCTCTGGGCCAAGGGGAGGATTATGCTTCCTCCGCCGACTGAGAGGTGTGGGGCAAGTGGCAAGCGCTGGTCAGCGGGTGTGAGTGAGCAACAGACACGCGCCACGCCTGGCTATTGCAGAGCGGCCCTTACTGCTGCACATTCCGCAGCCAGGCCGACCTGCAGGAATCCCGTCTGCATAAGAAATGGAAGGGGTTCTGCTCCCCAAACCACTGCATGAAGGACGGCTACTCTGCAGAGTCAACTGAGACTAGAACGAAACTGCGTGATCAAGAAAGAAAGTTAGTTTTGTTTTCACGACATAAACAATCCTCTCAAAAATAACAGAGTGTGACTTATTATTTTTAAATTCACTTACAACAAATGACAAATGGCACCTGATACAACAGTTCAAGAGTTCTATTCTCCTGCAGTTTAACTGTACTCACATCTGGCTTCAACATTTATCTGGTAGAAGGGTAGATTAACCAAGTTTCCACTCATAGAAGTATCATGCCCCTTTATTTTCTTTCTTATGAGGAATTATTACTTGACCTGAGAAATCATAACTTTCATAACTGTTTGGAATGGGAACTATTTGCACTTTTTTCATTCTTCCAAGTTCGTTAATTTTCACTTCCTTCTTATACTTTCTCTTGATTTATTTGCACTGTATTT